TTGATCTCTTTCTTCATCTTATTGTAATTCTCACCCTTTATTGCTGTAGGGTTGGCACTAGACGCTTTCTTGGGGCCCATGTGGTCACTTATTTGGCAGAATATAAATCACCAAAAACACTGTACATAAATACGGACAATGTTCCGATTGTATGCTTGGTGTTACAGCGGAGCAGGCTGGTCAAAACAATGCGTACCAGCGGCACATGTGAGGGCTGGTAAGGGCGACATTGAAGCGTCTCAGACGAAAGAACGGTGTGGGGTTTTTGACGCGGTAGGCGAGGGGAAAAATTTTTGCGATAAAAAGCGAGTGGTATGCGGTTGTAAGTTATGTGTTGGCAACGGTATGCGGGGGCGGTGGGTCACTGTACAAGCATATATATACACACCCCTCTGGGGGTTATCTTCCTATTTTCTTGCTAGTCTTGTTCTTGTTTATTTTCTATCATCTCCATGGGGAAGTGGATCAGAATTCTTCCCCCGTAAGCCATGCGTGTTGTAAGAGGCGACTAAAATGCCAGGAGCAAGGGGCTAGTAACCCCTTCTCCTGTATATATTACTAAATGTAAAAGGAGAAACTTTCATTTTTCCTTTTGGGCCAACCCGCCTCAGTGGGATACAGCCGATGTGTTGAAAGAAGAAACATTTACTTTATCCCTTCTCTTGTATAAATTACTAAAGTTAACCCTTTGACTGTTTTGGTTGTATATATACGACTTACGAGCCAGTGCTTCGGACGTATATATACTCAATAATTCTAGCGGCTTCAAATCAAGCAGGAAAAAGCTGGTAGGCCCACATGTGAGAGAATGGGTCTGTGTTCAGTGTGCACCACAAAAAAAATCCTGCAGCATGCAGTACATAATGAGAAAAAAAAATGACCATTTTTTTTGGATTAAAACGCTGATTTTGAGGTGTATTTTCATATAGTATTTATCGTTGTATTCTCGTTTTCATGGTCTCACGTGATAAAATGGAAAAAATTTTTGCAGAAATAGAGATGATTTTGATTAGTTTCACGATGAAAACGACCTTGAAATTGAGCTCAAAGTAGCGAAAATGTTTGATTTTTACCAATGTTCAAGAGTAAGTAAATCACACTACACATCCAATACACGTCAACTGGGGAGTCTAATATTCTTTCACTAGTGCACTGATATTTATACCATTTTTACAATAATGCAGTAGTCTGCATAAACAGCAAACTTTGTATTTTTTGTATGAATAAAAAATCAAAATAGAAAGCAATAGTAATATAAGAGGGACCTAGAGACGTGACTAATGAACAGAGGATATGTTATTTTTGTGCCAAGAATGTCTACATTGTTTATTCTGGACCCTATTTTGAAATTGGCATCTTTTCTTTAATTTGCGTGAAATTGGCCAAATTGCCAATTTCTGATCACTTTATTTGTTAGTTCAAATTGGTAAATGGGCAGTTTCTTGTACTCAATTGATAGAAAAAAATGGAGTTCTAAAGAAATACCTATGAGTTTAGTCAACTGGAACAACGGAATTAGCCAAAAACAGGGCTCAAAGATGGCGAAATCGCCGATGCATATGTCGCCGAGACCGCTAACTTCGCAGGAGCGTAATTCCGTGAGTTTTCGACCAAATTTCGTACTTTTGGTGTCGTTACCATCAGCAAAAAGATTCTCTATCATTTCATAAGAAATTTTTTTTTTTTCCAAAAGTTTTGCAACATAGAATGACAGTTTCAGAAAGGGGGCTTGCGACAGTCACAGGGTTAAAAAGAGAAACTTTCGTTTTTCTTTTTGGGCCACCCTGCCTTGGTGGGATACGGCTGGTTTGTTGAAAAAAAAATTACTTTTATACTTACACTTTTATATTTACACTTACCTTTGAGGAGATGTTAGTTTAATTAGTTAGTTTGATGGAGGAGATGCTGGCAGAGGTTTAGGGTGGTGGAAGATACGTAGCAGGCCGGCGTATGTTCATTGGCTCGATGCACATCCAACAACATTGGAGTTACTTTCGTGTCGTTTTTCTATCGCTTACTCACTTAACTTACTTGCTACACTGTTAATTCTACACTTTATCGCTGGCTGGCACTATAGCCTTTATCAATACCTGCTGCTTTAGTATTGTACACATCGTAGAATCACTGCAGAAGGCACATTCACCCCTCTCTCTTCCTGCTCCCCTTTGGTACTTTGCTACGAGTCTTTTCTTGAATTATATTGTGCTTTTTTTCTTCTTTACCAAAGGGCTGGCACTAGAAGCTTTCTCTGGGCCCATGGTGGCTTATTTAGCAGTTACAAGCACTAAAACAATCGAATAATACAAAATATATTGCATGTATGTGAGGAATCGTCGTCCCTGGCTTGTAAACAATGGCACACTACCTGTACAGGGACTCTAGCTGCGTGGACACATTCGGGACAAATGCCCTTAACTGAGTTCTTGGGCATTAGCCGAGCCAATATTTTGACGAAAAAACGTACCGCTATCCGATTTTGACATTAGCCGATGCCTCCATTACCCGAGAGCCCACTGTAGTAATATCACTAATGACTTTTTTTCAATTATTTTTTAAATGCCCTTGCTGGTTTTAATACAGTGGACCCTCGACTAACGATATTAATCTGTTCCTGAGAGCTCATTGCTTAGATGAAATTATCATTAACCGAATTAATTTTCCCCATAAGAAATAATGGAAATCTAATTAATCCGTTCCAGGCAGCCAAAAGTATTAAAAAAAAAAAATTTCATGAAATATACATTTCCCACAAAGAAAACAATGAGACATGCACAATAACTATATAAATAAATGTTAAAATGACACTTACCTTTACTGAAGAGTATTGATGAGTGATGAGACACTGTTTTTCTTGAACACACTGGGATTTTCAGAGTGATACATGAGTAAAGCCTTCACTTTGCAATCCCCACTAGCATTACAACAAAACAAGAAAGTTAGCCTTCTTTCATAGGCTTGTGTCCTGGGAGTGCCTTTTACTCCTAGTAATGTAGGTCCTGTTTGGCATTTTCTTCCAGAACAGGCCTGTTTCGTCACAATTGAACACTTGATGGGGGTTTGAATTTTTCAGCATCGCCATGCCTTATCACACTGTGTATGCCACTACGATTCTTAAATCTCTCAAACCAACCTTTGCTGGCCTTAAATTCACCAATATGAGCACTAGTTCCAGGCATTTTTTCCTGTTCACCTAGGGTGTTAGTCGACTGGTGTGGGTCACATCCTGGGGGACAAGATTAAGGGCCCCAATGGAAATAAGTTAGACAGTCCTTGATGACTCACTGACTTTCTTGGGTTATCCTGGGTGGCTAACCCTCTGGGGTTAAATGTTTCTCGGTAATTGTTTCTCGTTAAGCCACACCAACAACAGTCTCTCCATATCTTTGAGTAGTACAGCTGACAGTGGTGCAGCAACAGCTGATGGTGGTGCAGCAGCAGCTGACCATGATACGATAGTATTTCTCACCCTTTTTACCACAGGATTGGCACTAGAAGCTTTCTTTGGGTCCATGGTGGCTTATTTAGCATTTTACAGCACATAAAAAATGAATAACACAAAAGACAATGTATGAGGAAATCGCCCCCCTGGCTTGTAAAAAAACGCGCACGGCGCTGAGGCCTCGGGTGGAGGGACGGGTTGGGGAAAAAATCACAGGGGCGAGTTTTTTATCGTTACCCCGGGCCAAATTTTTTTACACTCAAATGCTTGAAAGGGGGATTTTAACATTTGCAATGCGTTCGTAGCCGGGGGCCCCACTTATTTTAACCCTTTCAGGTCGAGACCCATGACCCTTTAAATTTTCCCCGTGCAAAAAAAATTTTTAAAAATATAAAAATTTGGGTGGAAACACAAAATTATGCTCTCGTGAAGTTAGACTCTGTGATATTTTTGCCCACTTTTAGCCCTATTTTCGGGCCCAACCCATTGATCCAGTCGACTAAATAAAAAGCTTTTTTCGCTAGAACCCATTTGTTCTATCAACTGAGTACAAGAAAACTGCTCATTTACCAAATTTCCCAAAACTACCCAATAAAATGGTGATATTGGAAATTTTGGCCAATTTCACAAAAATTTTCAAGAGATGCCAATTTCAAAATAGGGCCCAGAAAAAAAAAACAATTCCTGGCCAAAAATAACATTTTTCTCTGTTCACTAGTCTTACCGGGGTCCTTCTTAATTGCTCTTGTTTTCCATTTTGAATTTTTATTTTTCAAAAAGTAAAAAGATTTACTGTTATCAAAAACTGCATTATTATAAAAATTGCATAAATAAAGTCAATCATTCATGATGCACATTGACTGCCGTTGGACACAAATTGGACAGCGACATCTTTGTTTATCTTGAACATCGGCAAAAATTAACTTTCGTTTCTTTGAGTTCAATTTCAAGATACTTTTCATCATGAAAAACCCAAACAAAGTCATCTCCAATTCTGTAAATATCTTTCCCTTTTATCAAATGAGACCAAGAAAACGAGAATGAACCAAAAAACATACAAAAATACCCACAAAGTCGCTGTTTTAAACCAAAAAAACGGTCGGGGGGGGGTTTTTTTTTTTTTTCATTTGGAAATGCGTGCAAGGTTTTTTTTTTACTGCAACACTGACCCTGCGACCCCATTCTTTAAGTAGGCCTACCAGCCTTTTTTCCCCCAGATTGAAGACGCTAAATTTGGGTAGTACTACGGAACTGACAATGGCTCCAACCGAGTACTATGGACCGCACCCAAAAAGGGTTATAAGAAGAAATTTTTAGAGTCAAAGGAAATTTTTTTGGAAATAAACATATATAAAGAACTAAGATGGTTTTTTAGATTTTATACCGTAGAAAAAATTCAGTGTACTGCGAATCACAGGAAAAATTTAATGCCCCCACTTCATCCCTCCATTTTAAATATCTCTTATTTTTTAACTATCATGTCCCCATAAAGTAAATTAAACAGTTTAAAGACACTACAAAAATTTCCTTCATTTTTAATTATCAATGTTAACTTTACCCCCTATTTGTTATCTCTAATCCAGCAGAGAGAGTTGTAAAATTCTGGATCAATAGATTCAAGATCCTTAATGGTAAGTTTTTTGTTAAGCATGCGTTTGTAGAATGGCATGGTAAAGCCAGAATAGATGAATTTCCCATGGTACAGAGCCTGAAAATTGAAAGAAGATTTTCTGAATTATGGGAATGCAACATTATGTTGTATGACAAGTCTAATTGCAAAAATAATCTCCCAAAGCAGGAATAGCTAAATATGTCGCTAAATGGCATAATTACAGAAAACCGAATACACAAAGATGCTAATATACATAATTCAAGATGCCATTTCATTGTATTTACATATGCACAAATGATCACATTTTGAAAAACACGTATGCTTATTATTATCAATAATTTATATTGTTGAAATGGTCCCAGGCCAAACTAAAGTAAGAATAAGCATTATAAACCATCTATTTGTCTCTTTAATGCATATTTCCTTCTGGGAGCTGCCCGTAAGGATGGCCATCTTGAGAATCCTTTCCAGACATTTCAGGATCTTTCAAATGTTCCTGAAACGGCCATTAAAGAATTCCACACATTGGGTTAACTAACAAGAAAGTCATCAATTTTTGTAATTATATGAGAGTGAAAAGAGTTTAGAATGTTCTCAGCAAACACACACAAATGTTGAAACAGAAGGAAAGAGAAGGACTGGGAACACTTTCACTTTAACCCCTTGACTGTCACAACCCCAAATCCTGAGGTGTCTCCTGGTGTCGCAACCCCCCCCCCATTATTTTTTCTCATGAAATGATAGAGAATCTTTTCCCGATTGTAATGACACCAAAAGAACGAAATTTGATGGAAAACTGACGGAATTACGCTCTTGTGAAGTGAGCGACCTCGGCGATATTTACGAATCGGCGATTTCACCCGCTTTGAGCTCTATTTTCGGCTAATTCCATTGTTCCAGTCGACCAAACTCATAGCTATTTCTTTAGAACTACATTTTTTCTATCAATTGAGTACAAGAAACTGCTCATTTACCAATTTCAACTACCCAATAATGTGGACAGAAATTTGCAATTTGGCCAATTTCACAAAAATTAAAACATTTGACAATTTCAAAATAAGGTCCAGAATGAACAATGCAGACATTCGTGGCTCTAAAATAACATTTTCTTTGTTCATCAGTAATGTCTCCAGGCCCCTCTGATATTACTCTTGCTTTCTATTTTTAATTTTTATTGAAACAAAAAATAGAAGATTTACTGTTATGCAGACTACTGCAATATTGTAATAATTGTATAATGTCAACCCATTCATGACTGCATATTAGAATGGCTACTTGGACATTTACTGGAAAACGACATCATTTGAGTACCTTTGAACATCGGCAAAAATCAAACATTTCCCCTACTTTGAGCTCCATTTCAAGGTTCTTTTCATAGTAAAACCAATCAAAATCACCTCTATTTCTATATGTTTTCCAGTCTATCAAATGAGACCAAGAAAACGAGAATACAACCATAAATACTACATGAAAATAGACCACAAAGTCAGCATTTTAATTAAAAAAAAAAAAAAAACGGTCGGAGTTTTTTTTTCTCATTATGTACTGTGTGCTGCAAGATTTTTTTTATATGGTGCACACTGACCACACAGACCCATTCTCTCACAAGTGGGCCTACCAGCTTTCTCCTGCTTGATTTGAAGCCGCTAGAATTTATGAGTATATATACGTCAAAAACGGTGGCTTGTAAGACGTACATTATTTTTTTTTTTTATTATCACACTGGCCGATTCCCACCAAGCCAGGGTGGCCCGAAAAAGAAAAACTTTCACCATCATTCACTCCATCACTGTCTTGCCAGAAGGGTGCTCTACACTACAGTTTTTAAACTGCAACATTAACACCCCTCCTTCAGAGTGCAGGCACTGTACTCCCCATCTCCAGGACTCAAGTCCGGCCTGCCGGTTTCTCTGAGCCCCTTCATAAATGTTACTTTGCTCACACTCCAACAGCACGTCAAGTATTAAAAAACATTTGTCTCCATTCACTCCTATCAAACACGCTCACGCATGCCTGCTGGAAGTCCAAGCCCCTCACACACAAAACCTCCTTTACCCCCTCCCTCCAACCTTTCCTAGGCCGACCCCTACCCCGCCTTCCTTCCACTACAGACTGATACACTCTTGAAGTCACTCTGTTTCGCTCCATTCTCTCTACATGTCCGAACCACCTCAACAACCCTTCCTCAGCCCTCTGGACAACAGTTTTGGTAATCCCGCACCTCCTCCTAACTTCCAAACTACGAATTCTCTGCATTATAAATTCACACCACACATTGCCCTCATACATGACATCTCCACTGCCTCCAGCCTTCTCCTCGCTGCAACATTCATCACCCATGCTTCACACCCATATAAGAGCATTGGTAAAACATTCATACATTCATACATTCCCCTCTTTGCCTCCAAGGACAAAGTTCTTTGTCTCCACAGACTCCTAAGTGCACCACTCACCCTTTTTTCCCCTCATCAATTCTATGATTCACCTCATCTTTCATAGACCCATCCGCTGACACGTCCACTCCCAAATATCTGAATACATTCACCTCCTCCATACTCTCTCCCTCCAATCTGATATCCAATCTTTCATCACCTAATCTTTTTGTTATCCTCATAACCTTACTCTTTCCTGTATTCACTTTTAATTTTCTTCTTTTGCACACCCTACCAAATTCATCCACCAATCTCTGCAACTTCTCTTCAGAATCTCCCAAGAGCACAGTGTCATCAGCAAAGAGCAACTGTGACAACTCCAAAACAGTCAAAGGGTTAAAGGAAAAGTTAAGGCAAAGAAATGTCACTGAGGGTAAAGAAATTCACCATTTTACATTATCCAAAACAGTTCCACGGGGGTCAGGATACGACGAATCATTAGAATAAAAGAGACTTAATGACCCTTTTTCAAAATTTGAAAAAATTCTAACCAATGTATTGCTAAATTAGAGTATTGGAAATAATGAAGCTGAACACTCAACTACAATTCAGTTAACTTTTCTGTAGGTTTCTCTACCACGTCCTTACCATTGCAATAAAGCGACCAATAAACTTGAAGTATGTTAAATGATCAGGATTGACTTCCGAGGCAGGGTTGATCTGCAGTGAGTAGTTGTTCTTGTTAGCATATTCAAATAAGCAGTACATGGGGTTGAGGACTTCATGAGACAACTGGAAGAACCACTCTCTGTATAAAGTGAAAATATTTTAGTAACATTTGCATTATTATGTATCATTACAACCTTACCATTGCTCAGAATTTAATTAACCTCCATATAATAAATGGTTCATTATAAAATGGGGAGGCCTACACAAAGAATCACTATTTACTACAGTACAGTAAATTGCAAACTTTAAAAATTTCCACAATAACTGATAACTCCAGCATCACCACTGTTATTGTCAATAAAGCAGTGAATTCCATCTTCTGGTACAATTTACCTTACCAAGAGTTTATTCACATGCTTTACTACGAACCAAGACCGTTTCAACTTTTAAGATTTCTAGATACTGAAATACTACTAAACAAAATAATATATGTAAACATAGGCCTAGTTTTCTGAATAGCTTATTTGATGTGTTATTAAGCTGAGTGAAAATGTTTTTCTTTTTTGGGTCACCCTGCCACGGTGAGACAGCTGACGAGTTAAACAAAAAATTATCACCCATTATACAGCATACTTCCTACTTCTAGAAACATACTGTATATATAAAAGTAGGAAGTACGTTGGTAGGCAGCAACCTCCCAGGGAGGTGCTACCATATTGCCAAGTCAGTGTAAAACGGAAGCCTGTATTTGTTTTACATGATGGTAGGATTGCTGCCGTCTTTTTTTTCAGTCTCAAACATGCAAGATTTCAGGTACATCTTGCTACTTCTCCTTACACTTAGGTCACACTACACATGCATGAAGAAGTACAGTGGTCCCTCGATAATCGTAAAGCTCAATAGTCGTAATTTTCAAAAATTTTAACGTTATTTTCGTCAAAACACTGGCTCACAAATCATCGTTTGACTCGCAAATAGTCATTCGTCTGGGACACATGCACACAGCACCAAGCCACCTCACACTCCATTCCCAGCCAATGTGCCATTGTTTATCAGTGAGTGAGGATGATCCCAAGAGTTCATACGATACATTTCATAATATTCCATTCGTTTTAGTGCTTGCAACTGCTAAATAAGTCACCATGGCTCCAAAGAAAGCTTTTAGTGCCAGCCCTTTAGTAAAGAATGAGAGAAACACACATAATTTAAGCAAAAGTTTGTAGAAAAATATGAAGGTGGTGGTGGTAGAGTGGAAGCAGTTGTGATAGTGGTAGAGGGTGGTAGTGATGGTGGTAGAGGGTGCTAGCAGTTGTGAAAGTGGTAGAGGGTGGTAGTGATGGTGGTAGAGGGTGCTAGCAGTTGTGATAGTAGTAGACGGTGGTAGTGATGGTGGTAGAATGTGGTAGTGATGGTGGTAGAGGGTGGTAGTGATTGTGATGGTGGTAGAGGGTGCATACTTCAGTGATTCAGCAATTCTACCAACTCCTCCAATGTTGCTGCAGTTATATAGGGCTACAGAAAACACCGCCGCCTCAACTGCTGCTTCACCACCATTATGGATGGCTTACTCTCAGTGGTCCTTATACACCCAACAACACAACACCTCTCGTGATATACATAATGACTTATTTTATTCATTCTAGAGTATTATATTCCATGTTTCTATGTTATTAACCCTTTCAGGGTTTCGGACGTACTAGTACGGCTTACACACCAGGGTTTTTGAAGTACAGTGGACCCCCGCATACCGTTGGCATCACATAACGATTAATCCGCATACCGCTTGCTTTAATCGCAAAAATTTTGCCTCGCATACCGCTTAAAAACCCGCTCACCGATTTTCGTCCGAGACGCGTCCAATGTGCGCCCTCAGCCAGCCTCATATGTGCCGCCAGTGACATTGTTTACCAGCCAGCCTCCGCGGTAACATCCAAGCATACAATCGGAATATTTCGTATTATTACAGTGTTTTCGGTGCTTTTTCTGGAAAATAAGTGACCATGGGCCCCAAGAAAGCTTCTAGTGCCAACCCTACAGCAATAAGGGTGAGAATTACAATAGAGATGAAGAAAAAGATCATTGATAAGTATGAAAGTGGAGTGCGTGTCTCCGAGCTGGCCAGGTTGTATAATAAGCCCCAATCAACCATCGCTACTATTGGTGGTACAGCTGCTGCTGCTGCTGCTGCACTGTCAGCTGCTGCTGCTGCTGTAGCATCGTCTGCTGCTGCTGTAGCATCGTCTGCTGCTGCTGTAGCACTGTCAGCTGCTGCTGCTGCTGTAGCATCGTCTGCTGCTGCTGCTGCTGTAGCATCATCTGCTGCTGCTGTAACATCTTCTGTTGCTGCTGTAGCATCGTCTGCTGCTGCTGTAGCATCGTCTGCTGCTGCTGTAGCATCGTCTGCTGCTGCTGTAGCATCGTCTGCTGCTGCTGTAGCATCGTCTGCTGCTGCTGTAGCATCGTCTGCTGCTGCTGTAGCATCGTCTGCTGCTGCTGTAGCATCGTCTGCTGCTGCTGTAGCATCGTCTGCTGCTGCTGTAGCATCGTCTGCTGCTGCTGTAGCATCGTCTGCTGCTGCTGCTGCTGTAGCATCGTCTGCTGCTGCTGTAACATCTTCTGTTGCTGCTGTAGCATCGTCTGCTGCTGCTGTAGCATCGTCTGCTGCTGCTGTAGCATCGTCTGCTGCTGCTGTAGCATCGTCTGCTGCTGCTGTAGCATCGTCTGCTGCTGCTGTAGCATCGTCTGCTGCTGCTGCTGCTGTAGCATCGTCTGCTGCTGCTGTAACATCTTCTGTTGCTGCTGTAGCATCGTCTGCTGCTGCTGTAGCATCGTCTGCTGCTGCTGCTGCTGCTGTAGCATCGTCTGCTGCTGCTGTAACATCGTCTGTTGCTGCTGTAGCATCGTCTGCTGCTGCTGTAGCATCGTCTGCTGCTGCTGCTGCTGTAGCATCGTCTGCTGCTGCTGCTGCTGTAGCATCGTCTGCTGCTGCTGTAACATCGTCAGTTGCTGCTGTAGCATCGTCTGCTGCTGCTGTAGCATCGTCTGTTGCTGCTGTACCACCGTCAGCTGCTGCTGCTGCTGTAGCACCGTTGTTGGAGTGGGTTATTGAGAATACCAATAAACAATTAACCCCAGAGGATTTGCCACCCAGGATAACCCAAAAAAGTCAGTGTCATCGAAGACTGTCTAACTTATTTCCATTGGGGTCCTTAATCTTGTCTCCCAGGATGCAACCCACACAAGTCGACTAACACCCAGGTGAACAGGGAAAAATGCCTGGAACTAGTGCTCACATTGGTGAATTTAAAGCCAGCAAAAGTTGGTTTGAGAGATTTAAGAATCGTAGTGGCATACACAGTGTGATAAAGCCTGTTCTGGAAGAAAATGCCAAACAGGACCTACAGTACTCAGGAGGAAAAGGCACTCCCAGGACAGACTGTCTCATCAGTAATTGCTGCATCTTCAACAAAGGTAAGTGTCATTTATTCTTCATTTAGTAGACTAGTACATGCACAATATATACTGTGCATGTACTACCCTACTATTGTGCATGTATCCTTCTCTTTGTGTGTAGGAAAATGTATATTTCATGAGGTAAAAATTTTTTTTTCATACTTTTGGGCGTCTTGCACGGATTAATTTGATTTCCATTATTTCTTATGGGGAAAATTCATTCGCATACCGATTATTTCGCATAACAATGAGCCCTCTTGCACGGATTAAAATCGTTATGCGGGGGTCCACTGTACTAGTACGCCCAAATTATAGCGCCCTCAAATCTAATGAGAGAAAGCCGGTAGGCCTACATATGCAAGAATCGGTCTATGTGGTCAGTGTGCGCAGTATAAAAAGAATCCTGCAGCACACAGTGCATAATGAGAAAAAAAAAACTGTGTTTTTGGATTAAAACAGCGACTTTGCACTGTACAGTGGTCCCTCAATAATCGTCCAGCATGAAAGTCGTCCATTTCGGAAATAGTCCTGTTTTTTCGTCAAAATATTGGCTCGGATATGGTCCGGTAACTCGCTAACAGTCCTTCGTCCTGGACGCGTACGCACGGTCTGAGCGGCCTCGAGCCGCCTCGGCCTTTCCTTCCCAGCCAGTGTGCCATTGTTTACCAGTGAGCGACGGTCCCCTGACGTGCTCCAGCGAAATATTTCATTTATTTTAGTGCTTGCAAGTTATTTAAGTGTTAAATAAGCTACCATGGCTCCAAAGAAAGCTACTAGTGCCAAGCCTTTGGTAAAGAAGGTGAGAAATACGATTGAATTTAAGAAAAACATCATTGAACAATATGATAGTGGTGTACGTGTGGGCAAACTAGCCAGGATGTATAACAAATCCCGTACAACCATATCTTCCATCATAGCCAAGAAAAAGGAAATCAAGGACGCTGTTGTTGCAAAGGGGGTAAACATGCTGACAAAAATGAGATCACCAGTACTCGAAGATGTTGAGAAGTTATTATTGGTGTGGATAAATGAGAAACAATTAGCAGGAGACAGTCTTATGACGTCGCTTATTTGTGAAAAGGCTAGGCAGTTGCATGACGATTTGGTAAAGAAATTGCCTGCAACTAGTGATGATGTGAGTGAATTTAAGGCTAGCAAAGGCTGGTTTGAGAGATTTAAGAAGCGTACTGGCATACACAGTGTGGTAAGGCATGGTGAGGCTGCCAGTTCGGACCACAAGGCGGCTGAAAAATATGTGCATGAATTCCAGGAGTACATAAACAGTGAAGGACTGAAACCTGAACAAGTGTTCAAATGTGACGAAACAGGCCTCTTTTGGAAGAAAATGCCAAAGAGGACCTTCATTACACAAGAGGAAAAGGCAATGCCAGGACACAAGCCTATGAAAGACAGGCTGACGCTAATGTTCTGTGCTAATGCTAGTGGGATTTCAAAGTGAAGCCGTTACTAGTGTACCATTCTGAAAATCCCAGAGTGTTCAGGAAAAACAATGTTATGAAGAGTAAATTGTGTGTGTTTTGGAAATCTAATAGTAAGGCATGGGTCACGAGGGAAATTTTTGTAGAGTGGTTCAACAAAGTGTTTGGCCCTAGTGTGAAGAATTACCTCCTGGAAAAGAAATTGGATCTCAAGTGCCTCCTAGTAATGGACAATGCACCTGCTCAT